CTTGGTCTGGTGCCGCTGCTCACCTGCTCCACTATCCCACTGTGGCTAATGCCCGCCATGTTCTGCACACACCCCCTGGTGGTCAGCGTATGTCATAGCGACCGGTTGTCCTGCCATTCGGTCTATTTGCATATTAGCCTTTTATTATATAGGATTCTGGATATTAATCAGACATATGAAAAAAAGGTCTTTTTATAATTGGTCCGCTTGAGCCAGGATCCAACAAAGTCACACTGTATTAATGTCTTGTCTAACCCAGAGGAAATCAAAATTAAGAAGAGGAAACTATGTGGGTATCTGGGAAGCCACTTATGTCGAGGTGGACACTGGAGGAAGGAAGGTGAAAGGGGTGTGAAAATCAAGATGGGGGCATGGTGAGCACATTTGAGTCACCAGCCTGGCCTGAGAGAACAGAGGCTTTTCCCATGATGCACTGTGTTATTCAGAGACACCCCCCGAACCAAAGACTGCCCCACCACCACCACCAAGAGTGGCAAAAGGTAAATCCTGGGAGCACTGTGAGGACCACATGGTGGCTCTGCTCCCCAGGGAACACTGGAGAGGAAGGTCCAGGGCTGCCCTGAACACTTGGAGCCTCCCTAGGAGTCCCTGAGGGCAAAGTAAGGCTGGGGAGCCTTCAGCATCCAGGAGTCATGGTAACGTGACTCACTGAGGGAAAAGCTATGGGTGCTGATGTCTGGGCACTCGACAAGATCACTAGAGTTATCTCTGGGATTAGGATTACGGCTGATTTTTTTCCTGTATATTTTCCAAATGTTCTTGCATGAACAGTGAAAAAGTGATCTACTTATACAGAGCAGCATCTTTAGGGGTAACGTAGATAGGCCAAGGATGACCATTACTGATAACAACTGAGTAACGTAGATAGGCCAAGGATGACCATTACTGATAACAACTGAGCTTCTCCCGAGATCTGTGGCTGGAAGTGGGGGTTCACTGACTCTCCTTGGAGAACCCAGAAGAGCAGCCCCCACCCACTGGCTGGGCCAGGACCCAGGAGCATGGCACCATCCAGGGAAGGCCAGCTTGGTGGGGGCAAGAAGTCCCCCCGCGCCTGGAGCTGAGACTACTGGAGCTGAGAATTTCTGGTTCTGCCTGCAGTCCCCGTGAGGCCTGGGACCTAGG